ACAGGAGCACATGGGTAGGGAAACGAGGAGAATGTCATCGGATGGATGAGAACCAGCTGAAGGAATGCAGAGGGGAACATGTGGTAAGGGGATGGGAATGTAAACCAGAGGAGATTCATACAAAAAACTCTTCAGATGGGAGCAAATACACTGCGCCCACTGAGCAGGCTTTTCTTTTTAAGAATTTTATTTTTTCCCTAATTTTTGGACCGGTGCACCAGCGACATTCTCAGCGTTGCCTTGTCAGCAGGGTGTCTTGGCTTTCCGGTGAGTTATGTGCAATAGTCTGGCAAATGTCAGAAATTTTCAAAAAGAACATCTGCATTGTAGACAAACATCATCAGAAATACTTGGAATGGAATGAAATGAAATGAAATGAATTTAGCTGAGTGTCTTTTGCATCTTAACTTGGCTTTGCTTCGGTCACTGGAGCACACAGATTCCTGGTCTCCGGACACGTGGCGGATGTTCCGCAGTTGCGGGCTGGAATGCCTGCTTGCATGCGACGCAGCCCTTCTTTTATGAGGCATACCAGCAAACGGCCCGCGCCAGGCCATGGCACGCTATTGGTTTAGCCAAGACTTACAACAGTTAAGAGCACAGCATAATGACCGTGAATGCCAGCAGCTCAACCAACCAAATGTGAGCATCTTCAGTAAAATATTGGCAGCCAAAAACACATAGCCACCCACACACCGCTCCCACTGCCTTCAGATCATAATAAAGTTTTTTTTCCCCTGCTGCATATAGCTATTTCCAGGTCTTCTCCTCTATCTTGATCCCAAAAGCCTTTGTTCATTATAAGTCTGATGTGCTGGAAGCGATACTGATTACTTCAGCCTTTCAGAAGACACCAGGTAATCTATTGACTAGAGGCCATGATAGCAAATCAATCTATAGGAGGCAGAAAGACCTCCAGGACGATATCTGCTGTGTATGATTTATTCTTCATTTTTTTCCTCCTCAAGAATGAATGGTGTTTTACTAATTTTTGGAAAATTGGTAGTCCATACATGAAAGAAAAGTTACAATAAATAAATTAAATACACAACATACACTTTTACTGTTTATTCAATTTGGCACGACAACCCTTGACAAGGTTTTTGAGTTAATTTCAATGCACGCAACTGACTTTAAAAGGTCAAATTAAGTTTACCTAATCCATTTGTGTAAAAAATTAAAAAAAATAAAATATATATATAATAATACAATTTATTTTAAGTTGTATGCCAGAAAATAGTGCCATAGTCAATGTTAGACCAAGTCTAAAATGGGACAAAATTACAATGGTAAAATGTCTAGTACGCAAAATATGCCAAATTCATAAAACAGAGGATAAGTTTAAACTAATTATCTTTTTTGAAGGCTTAATTTAATTGCTAAACGTTCCTTTTTACTTTTTATTTAATTACTGTAATCTAATTACATTTTGTATTTTCTAAATGTAAAACTAAATAATGGGCCAATAAAAAGTTGTAAATCAAGATTATTGGAGTATGTTTACAAGATCTTTTCCAAAATCTTTCATCCACTTCTATTATTTTGTCATGAATAATCTTCATAATTACAATGCAAAATCCCCCAAAACTCTCTCTATTCCACAACAATTCCCTTTGTTAATGAGCTCACTGGAGCACAAAGCACACTTCCATGTGTGATTCCACATGTTCCACATTAATTATAGAAAATCACAGAGGATCGTTCATGGTGGTGCACAGTGTGATCTCATTAGACACAATCACAAAGATGCCTCTCGTTCAAGCACACACACTATTAGCTGCACATTAGGGGGCTTGCTCATAATTGAAGGTACATATGTTGACTGTCCCGTGCGTGTGTCCTGTGAGTGAAATCACAGATGACCCCCAACAGCACATACATGATGAGACCTTGACTTTATCCCTGCCCCCTTTCCTGCGGCGGAACAAATCGTCCTTTCAGTATGTCCAACTCACAGTTTTTAGTCACGTGACTGGCTCGAAGACCTGGTGGGCAAAACATCCATAGAACTGCAGAAGAAGCCTGTCAATTTTCTATCTGTTCCAATCCAAAAATATTTAGATCACCTCTCAAAACAATAAAACAAAGATATGTGAACAAAATGCAAGTTTTGGCTATTAGCAATCCATATAAATCACCCGCCACAATATTTCAATGACTAAAAACAGTGGGACACTGTAAAACGTTTAACGGGAAAACACTTAAAGTGCCTTTAAAACAGTGATATTAAAGATCAAATTCAGTGCACACCTTATTGAGGATCCGTGCTTTATACAGGAATGAAAATGAGACCGGAATATGAATGCAATGCGCTAAATGGTTAAATGTTTTCTTTATAATGATTTTCTATAAGAAAACATTTCACATTAAACTTTGCGCATTGAGTTTTTATTCTGGGTTCATCTGCTTGCTTGTACAAAGACCACAATATTTCAATGACTAAAAACAGTGGGACACTGTAAAACGTTTAACGGGAAAACACTTAAAGTGCCTTTAAAACAGTGATATTAAAGATCAAATTCAGTGCACACCTTATTGAGGATCCGTGCTTTATACAGGAATGAAAATGAGACCGGAATATGAATGCAATGCGCTAAATGGTTAAATGTTTTCTTTATAATGATTTTCTATAAGAAAACATTTAACATTAAACTTTGCGCATTGAGTTTTTATTCTGGGTTCATCTGCTTGCTTGTACAAAGTATGCATCATCAATAAGCTTTATACTGAATTTGGCCTTTCAATATCACTGTCTTACTACATTATTACTTAATGCAATCCTCATAAAAATGGTGGGCGTTCCTGTAAGGGTGTGACGTCACGTGAAAACTATGAATAATTAATTCTGTGCAAAACATAAGACACAACAGCTATGTTCCAAAATTTAGTGAGCTGCCTCGCTGCCTACATAGTAGTCATGGAACCACACAAGTGAGGGATCTGAAATGCTCTTCACTGGCTGCAGCAAAAAGCCTTGATGAATTCAATAGGATTTGATGATAGCATGTTGCTAAGATAAGCATAAAAAAAAACAGTACACAATAGGGCTGCACGATAAATCGAAATGGAATCGAGATCGCGATTCGACAGAAGCTGCGATCGTCATGCGTATCTTTCAGTGAAGCACGGTTCTGTGATCAGCAGTAAATCTCCATCCAAAGGACAGAGGGTGCTCTCGCGCTGAAACTCCAAATACGCCTCACAGAAGAAACCCAGAAAATGCCTATCGCTGCAGCTGAATAAACAGAAGATTCAACTGCTTTCATTGATTCAACGTGACTAATAAACACATGACTACGGCAATATACGGTTTATCAGAGTTCTTATTATTATAATTTTCATTAAAATAAAGTATATTTATAATGCAATGCCTTTATCACTGCTTAAATACTATGAAATATGTTGCGTGCCTTATTCTGTGTAAGAATCCACATTATCTCACAGAAGGATTTATTTCAAACACTCGACTGATGTTATGAAGTGAGTTTGGAGTAAAAACATGTTATTAAATGTGGTATTTTCACATGCTTTCAGATGGAGCAGCATTTACTTCACAGAGCCGTAGTTCACTGAGAAGCTATGCAAACAGCTATCATTATGGCGAACGATTTCAGAATCATGCAATAAAATCGTCTGCGATTTTATTTAAAAAAATTTAAACAAATGTTTTTTTGCGTAACTTGTCAGTGAACTACGGCTATGTGTAGTAAATTCTGCTCCATCTGAAACCACGTGATGATGATTTCCTGCTGATTACAGAACCGGCTTTTTTAACAAAATGCGCATGACAATCGCATTCGATTAATCGTGCAGCCCTAGCAACAAATGCTAGTTAATAAAATCCATTTTGAATTACACTGAGCTATTTTTACCAAGTTGAAAATATTCGAATAGTTAAATATACATCACCTTTCAATTTTATTTCCACACAAGAGTGAAAAGCAAAAAAGCCCTGATGAAGCTTCCGGAAAACAATCCAAAATCACGTCATTCAGTGCGGACTGGCCTTTGACTTTTTAAACAAACTAAGGATTTTCTTAAATTAGTGGCTGGAAGGAAAATGAGAGGGGGAAAAGGTTTGCAATAAAATGAAATACGACTAAATCTTTCCCCTTAAGGCGTGACATTAATTTGAAAGTTACCAAAATATATTTGGTGGTGTTATTGCGTGAGACGAAAGTGCCTGGTTATTCCGTAAACATTCTTAAAAGGAACTCAACCAGCCACTTAACTGTTTATAAATGCTTTGTCTTCCACATGGTGTCAATTTGCTTTTTTGTAAAGGAGCTCATTTACGCATTTTAGACTTTATAGTCACATAATCACAGAAACCACACCACCATCCTGGTAAGCAATCCTTTTTTACAACCTTTTGATTTCGCAATTGACTTTAAATCATCGTGTGACCACAAAGGAAAGACATCAGTTCTTTGAGAATCACTAAAATTCAAGCTAAAAATAGCTAGCAGATTTTGCTGCTTGAGAACCTTTCAAAATATTTGGTACATCATATGGTTTCAATGAATCAGAACCACAGAGATCTTCGCCGGGGCGAAACCCATCAGGAAAAAAGCTAAAATTTCATATGCCCAGCCATTCTCCTCCTCCTCCTCCTCCTCCTCCTCCTCACTGCCTGAGACAAAGAAACAGGAAAACTCGGCACAATCATCAATCAATAGCATTCTGAGCCAAATCTCCACCGTCTTCTGGAATCAAATCCAAACAGTCAGGCCATAGCAAACAAGCTCACCTTGAACGAGGCCAGTGGCACACCACACACTCGTCATTATAATCGCATTTTCCTGCCTTTAATTTGGAAAATGTCCTAACACACAATACATTACTGACCCACGAGGAGCTAAAAAACACACCAGTTACGGCTAAAATATGCGTGATTGACTTCGCTAAAATGATGATGACAGAAACCATTTGTTTGAAATAAAACAGAGGTATTAGGGAAGTCAGCACTTCAGATGAAGCCTTCTTGACAAATCGTTTACAACATTCCTCCAGATGACAGGACATGCGAACATGAACCTAATGCTGAAAGCACGTTCCAGAGGTGTTTTTATTTCCTCTAGAAGGAAGCACAAACATTTGTCAGGAGGTCATTTCCCATTGTCAAGTGTGCGTCTTTAACGTCTTTCGTGTTTGAAGACATGTTTAAGTCTTCAAACAAAATGTATTTCCTGATTAGCAACAGCCTTGCGCCTGAGAAAATGAGATTTGCTGTGTTGTTTAAGCTTGAGCTTTCTTTGATAAAGTTCATGCAAGAGGTCTTTCATAAACATCCTAATCAGTGACCGTTTACGCTCACCGATTTTCGTCAATACGAATTAAAGTGACAGTGTCATTAACAGCACCAAATGCAATCGCAACATGAAATAAGTTTCCAAACACTACGCCTGTCCACTGTTTTTCACACTAACAGTTAGCCATGCCCCCAAACTCATGCCATTGGATGAGATAATGTTCCTGTTTTGTGCCGGATGGGATTCTGCACTAAACAAAGTTTTGAAATCATCACAACCATCTGTTTACACTTTTGAGGGAAATCAACCTGCAAATGGATTACTTTCAGAATTCCAGAAATCTTTCAATATATCCGTTAATATTTCCGCCGATGCAGGCCAGCGAACAAGTAACAAAACATTTGCGCTAATAAAAACTGCATGTTTACTAGACTACGCATTAATTCATGTCAGTTGTTATTATGTTTGCATGAAATTTATAAAAATGTGAATTGTGTGAATTTTACAGATGTGGAAAAAGTGCCTAGGATCACAGTAGTTAAGACATTACTACAGACCACAACGACGCAAAATGAAAAAGGGAATTCGCCAACATCAAACAGTTCTTTGTTTTAACCAGAAATGGACTTTCACATGTATAAGAATTTATGATTGAAACACAAGCCATGGAAAAACATGAAACTAAGTGGTGTATATTATGTAGCAGAACAGCAGATGTGATTATGCCAACCATCTGAAGGAGGTCTGGCTCCTTTCAATCCATATAATACTTCAAACATAACCAGGTCTGACCTACACTTGATGCATCATTATGCACTTCTATAGTCAATTGACATCGAAAATTAGGAAAAGGTTCTTCCCTGTGCCATAAATGCCATCGCTGCTGACTTTTCAGCGCCAGCAACAGAAATCCCATTTTACCAAATTGTAAATGTGAGTTTGTCTAGACTTGACAAAGACAAGGACAACAAAGATAAAATGCTCATGTCAGACAACTTCAGGATATGAGACAATACCTTGAGTGTCAGTGTCCAAAATTGAAATGCCTCCTTTTCACTGCTCTATCAGGTCAAACGAAAATGAACAAAAGGGAACTAACATTCATGGCATGTCTGAGATGCTTACTAGTGGTCTATTGTTAGACTGTACATGGGGAGCAGAAAGATTAGGAGAGGGGGTTGAGGGAGGGTACTCCCAACGCTAAGGACAAAGAACCAGCCTCAGCTCTGCCCAATACACCAACCCTATGAATGGATGACACAAAGAAACAACGGAGCCTCTCAACTGGCTGCAGAGAGTGAGAACGAGGGAGAGGCGGAGATGGAGAGGTGCTCCTCTGCCCACACTTGAAGGCATGGCAATAGAGGAACAGTGTGAGCTTCGATCATGTGTGGTCCATTACTCAACCAGTAACAGCTTGACTATTCCCCATGCCTACGAGACAACGGAAACTCCCTCAGTGGGTGAACAGGGCTGATAGCTAAGAAAAGCCCCAAGAAACAATAGATAAGCCCATTCATCGTCATTAAGGAGACTATTGAATGGGTCGCAATATGCAGGCACTTCAAAATACCTCATTGGAGAGGAAAGGAGTGCCAGGTGGCAACTTGAATGGAGAAAGAAAACAGGAATAGTGCAATGACTCTATTGGAAGGCTTGCAAAACGACTACATTTTACTGGTAGACTATACACCCAGTCAACTAAGTCAGTGTTTACTTTTAAGTAAATGACACGTGAACATCAGGGCTGTGCACCTTTCCAAAATGAATTGCGAATACAGTAAAATTGCATTAACAGGATGACAAATGGCAAGTCAATTTGGAAACATGCAGAGTTAAAACAAATTTAAATAAATAAAAAACATGTAATTTTTAACCAGAAAAGCAGTTTGTTAAGATAATCTTTGAATGTTTGCTTTATAAAGCCCTCTTAAAGTTTCGAAAAGGCTTTAATATTTGAGGAAGAATAGAAGTTAGAATGAATAGAACAGATAGAAATATAGACATTACAATGAAAAAATGGTGAATAAACAATTTTCACTCAGGAAAAAAAAGAAATGCAAACATTAAATTAAATGTAAGGTTTTTATGTAGAAAAACTGAAATAGCATTTTCTTGTACTCCAATAATGTTTGTTTTATTAACAACTTTGAAAAAAAATTTGTTTACAGTGTAGACAGATCTATCATTTCCCAAAATGCATTACCTGTGTTGAATGTCTTGGAACTCCAGTTTAGTAAATTTATCTTCCTGTCATTCCAATTCTACTTCCTGTACAGTGTGGCCAATTTAAAGCCACGCATGAATTAAAAGGGAGCCAACTTTTCAATTCTGAATTTTGTAAAAACTTGGTTAACACTCCAAACAAAACTCAAACCGTCACAGGGTTTCCATACAAAATAAAATACATATAAACACACCAGGACACTTTGCAGAATAAGTACAACTGAGTAGATTCATGTGACTAGCCAATACAACTACTGAAAATCTGAAAATGTGTTCCTTTCTGATGAAGGTAATGGCAAATACGTTTTCTTTTTTTATGTTAGAGAAATCAAAACAGTCTAAATTGTAGGAAATTAACTGCTCAAACATGTTAAGCTTCTAGTATTACAACGTTTGAGGTCTGTGACTTTGCGGCTACTCAACGGCTACTTCTGCCAAAACGTCTTGAATCAAATAATATTATTTTGGGCTCAGAGAGGTTCAAAAGGTGCAAACCCAAGTCAGTTCTCATTCGAATCAGTTTCTGATTAACGCAGCTGACATTTTGTTAAAGTGCTGTGTCTTTACTAAAGTCACAACCAGCGAAACAAAACAGATGGGCTCTCAATTGGCTCAGATCAAACCGCTTCAAACTGCTGCATCAGTGCACGCCAGTCTGTCGTTGCTTTTCCCATCATGGCCATGCGCAGAACAGGGTCACGAGGCACAACTCAGGAAACCTCCTCTTGAAGATAACAACCTTACACATCCTCTTGAACACCGTTCGCAGTCTGCTATACACGCAACAGGCTCTTCTGTGAACATAAACAGACATATACAGATGTCATCAGCCTGTTAATGCCGCTGACAGAGGACCTTGTGTCTGGGGTGTTTACAAGCATGGAGACTAGCTCGAGGGTGTTTCTGCTGAATGTGGGAAACACAAGCAGCCCTTTCTGCAATAAAATGGTGAGAAAATACGGAAGCAGTAGTGTTTATTTGTCAACAGATTGTAAATTATTCACTTTTAAATCAAGCATAATTACTGAAATAAAACAGAATATATATTATGTAATATATATTAAATATTATCCATAGCATAATATGAATACTGTATGTATATATATATATATATATATATATATATATATATATATATATATATACACACACACACACACACCGATGATAATAATAATAAATTATTGACTTTTAGTTTTAAGTCAAGCATTTATCAAAAATGAAAAATATATAAAATGTCTATTATTTGTATAATAATAATCTAGTCTTAAAAAAAGAAAAGATAAAATTATTACATAAAGTAAAATATAGCTTGCAACAATAATAAATTATTGACTTAAATCAAGCATGTCAAAAATGTATATACATGTATAAAAATTTATATATAATGTATATTATTTATATAATAATCTAGTCTTAGAAAGGAAATATTAAATTATATAATATATATTAAATTATATAGATTAATAATCCTACTTATTGTTGTTGTTAATATAATTATTTATATATATATATTTCTTTTCTTTTTTTTTTACACCACTATTAAAATAAACACTTTCCTTAAAAAAAAAAAATGTTTTATTTGTTTGCCAATGTAAAAGTCACCGCCATGATTCTATGGTGCTGTAGGTAGTTGCCAGGGTGCTGCTATGCGGTTGCTAGGGTGCTCTGGGTGGTAGCTATTGTATTGATAGCTAGTTACTTGCTGGCTCAAGTCAAAGCCACATGATTTGAGGCATCATTTACACCTGTAGAACAAAAAGTGCTGAACAAGTTAAGCAGCACATTTTAATATTGAGGGTGAGGGGTTTGTTCTAAACCCCTAATCATAGGTATGAGAAATAATAACAGTAAAACTTGCCTCAGCACTAATGAAACATTTAAAAAAGCTAATTCAAAGGAAACTGTAACCAAAAGGGACTTCCGAACCAGATTTATCACTTTAGGGATACAAATGTTCAGCACGAAGACAATTAGTGTTGACAGCCACATCTAACCACTGCACAATCTATTGCTTAAGCTGTCTAAACATTAGATTATCTTATCAGACAGCTCATGCAAAGAAACATTCGAGCTGAGCCAAGCTACAGCGAAACATCATGAAACATTACCTCTTCTTATTAGGCCGCTTAAAGCACTTGGATAAGAAAGGCTCATTTAATCTTCCCCGCACTTTATAACTTCAGCAGCAATTTTGTTTAGTAGAGAATGAAAATAGCCTGCAGAAACAACGCTCTGATCAGGAATTCAAGAACATCTTGGTACAAGGAGGACTGCGATTGAGGAACATCATTCCAAGGATGTGCTCCGTGAACAGTTATCTGTAGGTTGATAAATGCATTCTGTACACGCCAAGAAAAAGGTCACATAAAATTATTCTTTATATGTCAAGAAAAAATGCTAATAGTGTATTTCTGTACTTAGACCTCATGGGAGAAAAGGTCATATTATTCAAACTGTATAATCTCCAGTTAATAGAAATAACTGGGATGAAAATAAATCAAGCAGTTCACAAAACCAATGTAATATGGTGAAAAGTTAAAGCTCAGGAATCAGGAATTAGTCTATACTATACTATAGAGCTAGGCAAAATATATCA